ATGATTTTGTTGTATGAAACACACAAGAAAACATGCACATAAACGGAAGTAGTGGGAAGAAAGAAACCAGACAAATAATCGTGGCTGTATCTGTGAGAATGGCACAGGACCGGGAGGGGTTCAATCCACTGGACACAGGGTCGCTATGCGTCGGAGCCGACTCAGTGGCACCTAACAACAACATTTCTGGGCAATGGGATTGAAAGAGGGATATTTTCACTGTTTACTTTATATACTCCTGCATTTTTTACTTTTTAAAATAAGCATGTATTATTTCTGTAACAAAAAATAATGTAATCTCACCTTATAAAATCTGAATATTAAAAATATGCACAAGGACACAGGAACAAAAGTGATTTTTAAAGCTCACTACACAGATGACAGATGCAATTACTGCTACCATGTCAACACTTTTTCCAGCCTCTGCTATACATTTTTTTTACAGATTTTAGACCTTACTCTGTAATCATATGCTTATTTTTCAATGAATATAATATTGTGTTGTCTTTTTTCATTAAGAACACATGAACACAAGTTTAAATGAACACTTTCTACTTTTAAAAATAATACATTAAAAGTGGAAAATTTAGAAAATAAGGAGTCAAAACAAAATAAAAATCACCTGTATTCCCACCACTCAGACATCATTAAGAAAAACATAATAAAACTTGTGTGCACAGAACTGGATTAATAATAATCCTTAGATCATGCACAATGATCCATGTAAGCCTTCCTTTATTTCTATCCATTTACTTGTTGTTTCACTTAATTTTAATAATCATATAATTATAAAAGAATCAATTATTTCAATTACACAATGAACACCTACCCATCATACCTGAGCACTGGGATACCGACAAAAATTTAAATTCCCCTAATATGATTTCCCCCCATTCAACCCCCTGTTCCCACTCCCAATGACCACTAGCCTGAACTTTTCAATCAAATGTTCTTATGCCATATATACTCAACTCATTGCCGTCGAGCAGCCCCGACTCATAGCGACCCCTCCTTGGGTTTCCAAGGCAGTATCACTACGGAAGTAGATTGCCCAACCTCCCTTCCGAGGAGTGGCTGGTGAGTTTGAACCACTAGCCTTCTGGTTAGCAGTCAAGTGCCTTAGGCTCCTATTCCATACGTAAGTAGACCTAAATAACACAGTATATTTAATTTTTCTTGTTTTGGAATAATATAAAAATGATAGTCTATTATATGCAGTCTTCTGAGACTTGCTATCTTAATCCAACACTACAGAGGTAAAGTTTACCCACATTTTTATGTGTATCTGTAGTGTACTCATTTCGTTGCTGTGTAATATTCCATTTTGTGAATTTACCAGGATTTAGCCATTCTCCTTTGGGGACTTTTAACATTTTAGTGTATATTCTTCTGGTTATTTTTCTTTGAGAACATTTCTATAGTCTCCTTTCTACAAATCTACAAAGTGTTATACATACTTTGAAGTGACTTGTTCCTCACTAATGTCTTGTGAACATGATCCAATGAGTAAATATACTTCTATTGCATAAATTTCAATGTTGCCATAGTGTTCCATCATAGCATTACAATATACTTTTATTGAACCATTTCCAATTGTTGGAGACTTTGGATTGTTTTCTAATTGTTGCTATGATAAACACTATCATGTACGTATCCTTTGGCTCAGCAATTCCCCTTTTTGAAATTTATCCTAAGTAATAGCTGAACAAATTTGCACCCAAGTGTGTACAGTGCCACCATATGTGGGAGAATGTTCTACTTGGGCGATCTGTGTGGTATGCACAGCAGTTTTCATAATGCCAAAAAAGTGGAAGGAATTTCATGCCCACCAACAAGAACCAGATTAAATAAATTACATATTAAGATTAGAGTACAGATGCACAGTTACTGACGATGGAGGGATGTTCACAATGTATTATTAAGTGAAATAAATAGGATACAGAGTAGTATGGTTTCATTTGTAAAAGGAAACTGAACATACCTGGGAAAGACATTGGCAGAACATACACCAAAAATTTTACAGCAATTATCTCTGGGTATTGAGATTCCTAGAGATTTTCTTTTATTATTACTATTTTTTTTTTGCTTTGCTTAATCATATTTTGAAGCATTTTTCACAGTGAAACTTGATTACATGTATAACAAAAAAGATGAATAAATAATGAATAATTATTTTTGCTAAATATAAAAACACTTTCACACTATAAGAATTTGGAAGAAAACAAAAATAGCATAAGTAAGACAAAAAATATCACACAATCCTACCCACATGAGATAGTAAGTTTATAATGCCCGATGTGTTTACTTCTAGTAGTTTGTCTCTGATGACATATTTTAAAATCATTTAATCACACTTTATATAATCTTATACGCTGACTTTTCACTTCACATTATATAATATGAATATGCTGCAAATATTTTAATAGACAAATATTCCATTACAGTGACATAGCATCATTTCATTATTCTTCTAGGTTTTCTGGGTTTGTTTTTTTTTTTTTTCATATCAAATAACTATGTGAGAAAAAGCTTTATACATAAATTATCCACATTTTAGAGAGTTTCCTTTGGGTAGATTCTTTACAGTGAAAATACTAAGAGAGTACAAACATTTTCATATATGTTGGCATACACTGCCAAACTTCATTTACTATACATTTTAAGGAAGCATAGTAGAAACCAAAAACCGAAGCCATTGCCACTGAGTCGATTCTGACTCATAGAGACCCCTATAGGACAGAGTAGAACTGCCCCATAAGGTTTCCAAAGCTGCAAGTCTTTACAGAAGCAGAATGCCTCATCCTTCTCCTGTGGAGTGGGCAGTGGGTTCAAACGGCCAACCTTAACAGCTGAACATTTTAACTACTCCACTATCACAGCTCCTTGCAATATAATATAAACCCAGTGCCGTCGAATCGGATCTGACTCATAGCAACTCCTCCTTGGGTTTCTGAGGCAGTATCACTACAGAAGTAAATTGCCCAACCTTCCTTCCGAGAAGTGGCTGGTGGGGGTTTGAACTGCCAGCCTTCTGGTTAGCAGTCAAATGCCATAGACACTACACCACCAAAGCTCCCACAGCATAGTAAAGGAGGAAGAAAAAGAAGCCAAAACCCCCTGAATCCCATGCTCATCTCTAGTATTTGCTGTTTTACTGATGACAAGTTAAAATTGATACAAAACATTAATCTTATCTAAGTCACAAGTTACAGTGAAAACTAAATAATAAAGTAGATCTGTAAATATGCTTTCCTTCCCAGACTCTCACAGCATCCTATACTTTCTTTTCCTTCATGGCACTTACCACAATTCATAAATAAGCGTATACTCTATGCTTCCCCTAGATTTTGTTGTTGTTGTGTGCCATCAAGTCAGCCCCGACTCATAGCGACCCCTCCTTGGGCTTCTGAGGCAGTATCACTACAGAAGTAGGACTGCCCAACCTTCCTTCCAAGGAGTGGCTGGTGGGTTTGAACCGCCAGCGTTCTGGTTTAAAACACACCTAACAAACATTTGGCACTCAATAATATGTGTTGAATGAATGAATGAATGAATGGAGTGACACTTTGGAGACTATAAATAATTTAACATTTGGGAGGTATTGTTATTTCCATTATCATTAGGTTTTAGTACCATTAGTTGATTCTAAATCTCTAGAGATTCCTTGCCTAACCATGATCTCATTATATGGCTTTAATGCTTGTCATGCAACAGTGGTATGAATAGCAACACTGCTGGAGGCACCTGGTAGGAGCTGAGACTTGGAGAACCAAGTGGTAAGTTCTCTAGGTCAGCATTCTGCAAGTTAAGGAGCTATAGTTACCATTAGTCAGACACAAGGCAGTAGTCAGGAATCCAGGAAGTCAGTGAAGAAGCAGCTGGGTCCTGGAGACCAGAAACATACTAATGGTAAGTAATCTAGATAATAATGCGTGATTCAAGTCGATGGGAGAGTTAAATTCCCAGCACCAGTACTTAAAGCATAGAACTATGAATATGACTGTAAAGCAAAGAGTATGTGAATGTGGTTTTTGTGCCTAGTTCTACGTACATGAGCAAGGCAATGGTAGTAGGTGGTTGAAAACCAAAATCCGTGAATACAAATAAGTTCTGATCGTAGCAGGACAAAGTAAAGACTATTTGTATAAAAGATCTTACAATATTCTACACATAAAATGGGTAGCAATCAAGCTTGGGATCCCTTAATTTTCCTCTTGATTTTCAGTGGCAGGCATTAATGCATAACGATTAGGATCATGGACTCTGGAAGCAGGCTAGCTGGGGTCAAAATCCTAGCTCAATCATTTACTATCTCTGTCCTTTTGACAAGTTCCTTCACCTCTATTCCAGTTTCTTCATCTGTAAAACGGGGATAATGGCAGTACCTACATCCATGGACTGTTGTGAAGCTTAAGTGAGTTAATGCATGTTAGGATCTTAAAACAGTGCCTGGACGTAGCAAATGCTATGTTAAGTTTTATCTATTATTATTAATTAGTCATATAAGACCAAACAAGTAAAATTTGATACTATAAAAATGGTCAAATATATTAAGTTTATCTAAAATAATAAACAGTCTCTAAATAGGAATTTTTCTCATTAAAATTTTTAAATGGACATAAATATAGTTGACTATGTAGGAATTATAAGCATTATCAGTGTGAAAAAAATTATAGTAATGCCATCTGTGTGTTTATCCCATGGAAGCTGTTTCATGAACACTGTCTCAAAAAGTTGTAGAGAATATACACACATTTCCTGACAGTAAAAAGTACATATATCACTGTTAAGCTGCAGTAAAGTCAATTCATAAGATCTGGTCTATAAGAAGGAATGCCCTTGTAAATTTTTTATGATGCTAATTCTATTACAAGCAGAAAATATTAGAGTTTAAAGACTAGTCATGGAAAAATCAGAATACAGGAAAGCTTGGGCATGGGAAGACCACATTTCAAAAAGCCTGGACCTGGGGAAAGGTTGTAAGGCCTGGGCTATGGAACATGTTAGAATACCTGGTACTGCAGACACTGGAAGACCTGAATGTTAGAAGGCCGGTACACTCGAGACGGTGGAAGACGTGGATATTGAGCCTGCTGTTGGAAGACTGGGTAGTTGTCGGAAGACATGAAGATGCTGGAAGACGTGGAGATGCTGGAAGATGCAGAGATGCTGGAAGACGAGCAGATGCTGGAAGCCCTGGAGATGCTGGAAGCTATGGATTTGTTGGAAGACATGGCTTAGTTGGAAGACATGGCTTTGTTGGAAGACATGAATTTTCTGGAAGACACAGTTTTGTTGGAAGACGTGGGCAGGCTGGAAGACATGGATTTGATGGAAGACGTGGCTTTGCTGGAAGACATGGATTTCCTGGAAGATGGAAGACATAAACTTTCCGGAAGCCACAGATTTGATGGAAGACCTGGATTTTCTGGAAGACGTGGATAGTCTGGAAGACCTGGAGGTCATTGGAAGACGTGGATTTTCTGGAAGACATGGATTTTCAGGAAGACCCGAATTGTCCGGAAGACCTGGATTGTTGGAAGATGTAGATCTGCTGGAAGACCTGGCTTCTCTGGAAGACTTGGACTGTCTGGAAGACGTCGATCTCCAGGGACACCTGGAGGTTACTGGAAGACATGAATTTTCTGGAAGACGTGGCTTTATTGGAAGACCTGGATTTGCTGGAAGACCTGGAGGTTTTGGGAAGACCTGGATTTTTCCGGAAGATGTGGATTGACTGGAAGATTTGGATTTGGTGGAAGACATATTTTTCTGGAAGACATGAACTGACTGGAAGACCTGGATTTCTTTCGGAAGACATAGGCTGACTGGAAGATTTGGATTTCTCTGGAAGACATAAAACAGTTGGAAGACCTGGACTGACTGGAAGACTTGGCTTTTCTGGAAGACATGAACTGGTTGGAAAACCTGGATTTGATGGAAGACCTTGAAATTAGTGGAAGACGTGGATTGGCTGGAAGACCTGGATGTGATGGAAGACATTTACATTATTGGAAGACACAGATATTCTGGAAGACGTTGATATTCTTGGAAGATCTGGATTTTGTGGAAGACCTATAGTTGCTGGAAGACTGGATTTGCTGGAAGACTTGGAGGCTGTTGGAAGACATGGATTTTCCGGAAGACATGGATCATCTGGAAGATGTAGATTTTCTGGAAGACTGGAGTCTTCTGGAAGACTGGGAATGGTAGAAGACCTTGAGATTGTTGGAAGACGTGGAATTAGTTGGAAGACTTGGTGTTGCTAGAAGACCTTGACACTGGCGCCACTGGAAACCCTGGACATTGGAGACATTGGAAGCACAGGATGTTGGAGATATTGGAATCCTTGGATTTTGGAGACATTGGTAACTTTGGACATTGGAGACATTGGAATACTGAAAGCCATAGACACTTGAAGCCCTGGACATCAGAGACAATCAGGTCCTGTACCTTGGAACCCCTAGATATTGTAAGATATGGACAATGGAAGACCTAGATATTACAAATCCTAAAATTAGAAGCCCTGTAATTTGAGATGTTGGAAAATCTGGATATTGAAATATTCATATTAAAAGACATAGAATTTGGAAGAACTGTCACAACATTGGAAGTCTAGGCTTCTAGCAGGCCTGGACATAAAATTACCTGGATATTAAGAGACTTACTCATTCAGACATTGAGGATATTGGAACACCACAATTTTGGAAGACCTATTCCAAATATGTTGAAAAAGTAGGATTTGGGAGACATTAAATGATTGGGGATCTAGATGTGCAGGTGCTAGAAAATACTGGACCAGGTGGATTTGAACACTATGAAATACATTAACTCTAGAATACCTGTAAATAGGAGACACTGAAAGATCAGGACTGTAGAAGACTTGGAAGGTGGAACTCTGGACCCTGAAAGAACTAGACTTTAAAGATACACTGTTGCTGATATTGGAAGACCTAGACTTTTAATGGCCCCAATCCTGGAGAGATTAGAAAAAATGAGCATGGTAGATGGTGCAGCCCAGAAATTAGAAACCATGGATGTTGTTAACATTCAGAAAATCTGGTGATTGGAAATGCTGAATATTGTAGAGCTGAGAAAACCTGATGTTGGAAACAGTTTTGAAATGCCTAATATTAGAGATATTGAAAAGTCTGGGTATTGGAAAACTATGTTGAAAAACATTGGCAATGTTGAAAGATTTTCATATTAGGATCTATATATTACAGTAAGAGACACATCATAAAACTATTCTGACAGTCTTTATGACTTTAGTATCTCTTCCACTAAAAAGGGAGATATAAGGAAAAAACATTCGAGGAAGATGACAAAGAGGAAGCAGTGAACTTACTGTAAAAGGCCAAATAGCAAACATTTAAGGTTTTGCAGGTCATATGATCTCTGTTGCAACCACTTGACTCTGCCATTGTAGTGCAGCCACAATAAGGAAATGAGTGGGGGTGGCTGTGTTGCAATAAAATGTTTTTTTAAAAATAGATGGGGCAGATTTAGCCTAAGAACCTCAGTTTGCCAAAGCCTGCTCTAGATGCCAAATCTAGGGTATGGTAAACTCAAGTACAATCCAGGCTAGCATTCACTTCCAAGAAAACTGTCAGAGCAATATGAAGCCCATCGGGAAATACAGATACTATGCAATGTGATGGCACTCAGGAAAGAAGTCTACCAAGAATAAAAGGATAGAGTTCATTTTTCCAGCCTTTTTTTTTTCCAGGTACCCAAACAGGGCACCTTTTATTCAGAGACACAATTAAGTGGGCTGCATTTAGAATCCCAGCCATGGTAGCTGGGGCTTGGTGAAGATGTCCTAGTTTAGTAGACTGGAGACTTCTAGAAATAGAATACATACCCATCCCTACAGACTGGGGCTATATGGAGAACAGTGGAGAAAAAGACTACAGCTTGGTAGGCTCATCCCTGGCATTCTAGGCTTCAAGTAGTAAGTCTAATTTCTGCTCTTATCCACCAGAGCTTAAGTGACCAAGCACAAGGGATGAGGGTTGAGTTGTAGGCTGAAGGTCCTTAGTATTTAGTCAGCTAGAACTGTGAAAGATAGGGACTATCGCATATATTACACGAAAAAGAGCAGAGAAGACTAGTAAGATACACCAAGACTGGATCAAGTAGTGGAATATACAGATAATGGGTGTCATCTAAATTTTTTGAGCAAGGACATTACAAGGAAAGGTAATCAGGCAGCAAGGTACTGAATATCAAAGACTACTAGACAGATAGATAGATAGACAGACCGACCGACCAATCAACCGACCAACTGACCGACCTACCAACCAACCAAACAACCCACCAACCAACCACCAAAGACTTCAATTAAAACTAAAGGGTTGGGATGTGAGTTACAAGGCCACTGCAATCATCCAGGTGAGTGATACCAAGAAACCAAACTCATTGCCATCGAGTCAATTCCAACTCATAGCAACCCCCTTTGGGTTTCCAGAGTGGTAAATCTTTACAGAAGTAGATGCCCGGACTTCCTTCTGTGGAGTGGCTGGTGGGTTTGAACTGCCAACATTCTGGTTAGCTGTCAAATGCCTTAGGCACTATGCCACCAGAGCTCCAGGTGAGTGATAGTGGGGCCTTAAATTAAGGCAGTAACAGTTCTGTCACTAAGCAGACACAGCATCAAAGTAATGATGACTATTCAGCGTTCTGAATACCACCATTTCAAACTTCTTGAACGCCGTCACAGAATACGTGAAATACAAAAAAGTTCAGAAGTGAGTTGTGAGGAACTGCCCTCCCCTAGTAAGATTGCTTAAAGTTATCCAATGTTTCTCCAAAGCAGGAGAGATAATAAGTTGGTGGTTCAAGCAAAGTAGGTCCTAGATAGCTTTATCTTTAGCCTCTATACCACAGAGCAACTTAATTATCTTGAAAGTGGAACCAAGTAGATGGATTATTTTCTAGAGAATAGGAATGCATCAAGGTCTAGAAAAAGTGATTGTCCCTAATTATATCACATTATAAACATAGCATAAAGAATCACTGCAGGTCAAGGATTAACTTAAGGACAAAGTTATTATTGTTTCAGGTATCTCTCACAAACAGGCAAAGAGAAATATTAAAACTCGTTATTTATTCTTTTTCTCCCCTGAAAACCACCATGCATCCCTTATTTCAAGGGAAATTAATTAAAATATCAAAATATTAAAATTTTTCAAAGACAAAAGCTTCATATTCTAGCTCTACAATGCTTATTAATGTTATAATAATAGCAACAATTTAGTGAGCACTTACTATGTGCCAGGCACTGTACTAATGATTTCATATATATTTAATGCCATAGCAATCTTATAATGCAGGTATTCTTGACCCCGTTTTACAGATTAGAAACTAAAGCCTGGAATGCTTAAGAAATATGCCCACAGTCACATGGCTGGTCATTGATAGGGGCAGGATTTCTTTGAAAGCAAGTCTATCTGATTACAGAACCTGGACTCCATGCTGACTCCTCACCCCAAAAGCACAAGGGTTATCTTGCCAGCACTAAGCACCACTACCCAAAGAGAGGGAATCCCCAGCCCAGGGCAGCTAGTAAGTCAGTGGAATGGCACTCTTCACACAGCTGCCATTAATCAAGAGCCAACTGGAGGTGTTTGCATTGATGGGTTAATTACATCCTTGGCTTTAAGTAGCAATGCAAGAAAGATGAAGTGCAATGTCTCAAACACATTAGATTCTTATTTACTTTCTAGGTATTTGTTATGCATGCTAATAAAATGTATTATTTCTCCTTCATTTATTTCTATCTGATTTTATAATTCTCAAGAACACATACACTATTCACAGCCCATCATATTTATTTCTGAATTCTTAAACAACCCTAACACACTGACACCAAAGGCTGTTGAAAAGTAGTACTAGGTGAGGTGAGTGAGCAATGGGTTTATGACACACACATGGTTCACACACGCTTCTGGACACTGTAGAAGCCCTTTCTTAGCATTTGGGTGGCAGCAGCTACATAATCCAAAGTGTAGTTTAAAGAACCTTCTCTGCATTTTGAACTTAAAAGATTTTAAACAAACAAAAGTTTCTTTCACCAGTTTTCTAGTATCTTCTCCAAATCTTAGCAGCCTAGGTGTCCTTTCTCCCCACAATTCTTTGTTAAGGAGGACGTTTCCCTGCACTTCCTAATATCAAACCCAAGAATTTACCTGATTCATTTGGAAACAATTATAAGATGATCTCAACTCAAACTATGCATAAAATATACCAAAGGAACTTTCAGCTTTTCAATTTGAGGGACTATTCTTAGTTTAAAGAAAGAAAACAAAAACACCCAATTATGTAGCAGTGTTGTCATTAAGCTCTATATTTTTTACCATTCAGCTTATACCAAACTGTCAGGTCCTCTTGTCATGTTCTGCCAATTTGTTAGACTCAACCACATTAAAATATCCCATCCTTTACCTTCATTAATATGTCTTAGATGATTTTAACTGGATATTGTCTTACCCTAGACAAATACCAAGCCAAAGTCTAGACACTCCAACAACAACTAACATGAAACCCTGCTCAGTTTTCCATTTTATTATTTTATATGAAGGGTTCCTAGTTGATGCTGTCAAAGAGGCCTGATGGCACAGTGGTTATGTTCTCAGCTGCTGACTGAAGGGTCAGTGGTTTAAACCCACCAGTGACTCTGTGGGAAAACAGGCCTGGCAATCTACTCCCGTAAAGATGACAGCCTAGCAAACCCTATGGGGACAGACGTACTACCACAAAGGGTTGCTCTGAATGGGAACCAACTCAATGGCGTACAACAAGAAGTTGATGCTATTGATTTTAAAAC